GGATGTATTATTGTCATTGAGAGGCTTGGATGTGTTTAAACATACCTTCTTTCTTCAAACTAAGCACTTAAAAGTAAGTTTACTAACTTATGCATTCATTCAAATAGATAAGTCTATTACATGTTTTCCATCAAACATCTCTTCAGTGTGTGTTGTAGAGGTGACCTGCGATTGAGCTTTCCCCTTGCTTTGTTTCCTGAAGTGTTTATTCCTGTTGTGCTCACAACTTCCTGTTTCTTCATTTGAGTTTTGTGGTTGTTTTGTAGTTCTCACTGGCATGTGTGGTCAGTTACTCGCATATATATTGTTTAAAAGTCATTCTGAAAATTTATTTAAAAATAAATTGAAAATTGTAGAAAACAATCTTTTACAGTGCTGTGTAATGCATCCTACAGCCACGTGGGGGCGCAGCCACTCATAAGAGTGAGGTAACAAGTAGCCCTTTTTCAAGGCCATTGTAGGCTGTGTTTATTAGGTAAGCCTACACCATATTTAATTCTCAGCATGTGTTGAATACAGTGATGTACAGTAAGCTCCAGTATGAACTAGGCAAGCTCATTGAAAGTTAATAGTGCAGTACTAGATGTGTGCTTGGCTGTTCATGTAGTCTTTCAGATTTTTTGTAACATTCTTTTATTTGTGAAAAAAGACAGTTGTTTTAATGATTTCAATCAATTAAATATTTAAAAATAGTGACAACAAAAGTACAGTTTATGATGTTCTCCTAAAAGTATTGGGGAATTTGATATGAAAAAAGAGGAAAAGATTATCATACAAAAGGTGTCATTTTACAGTGCAGTTTGACTAATTACAACTTGTTACAGCCTTTATTTTGAGATACCACATTTTCTTTTCAGCCTGATACCAAGTAATACCGAGACTAATGTCCCAATGCTAATACATAAGTCATCTTGTGTATGTGAATTCTTTATTTGTACAGTGCAAACCAGTAAATGTGAATGTAAAATGATATTTTAAATGCTTTGTATTAGTATTAACTAAACTGTTTTTAGTAGAGTGAAGTAACTCATGGTCTGCCATTATTCACTCCATCTCGTGACTAGCCTGAAAGAAAGGTAGTTCATGTCCTGCACATATGACATCTACAGTCAAATTTTCACTTTTTTGATATTAGATGCATCCAGCTTCATAATAAGATAAACATTTTGGGGTACTGCTTAAAGAAAATGTGTAGTATTGATATTTTGACGTGAGGATTGATTCTCAAAGAAACAGCAGAATCAGAAATATTGATGCTTCAGTAAACAGTCATCCAGAATGGTCTGATGTGAAGTACACCATTCTAGAGAAACATACAGTCAGAATTGTTCACAGTGGTGGGAACCAGATGTGCAAAACCCCTCTTTTAATGTCTCGAATAGCACTCTCACAGACAGCTTTCACACTAAATGCTGCCTGATGCATAAAACATTGTTTTATGAAAGTTTTGAGGCAAAGTTTTGGCCAAAAATCTATTTTATGAAATGCATTAATGGCATAAAGGTACATGCAAGGTGTTGTAAGGCGAAGTAGTCCCCAAAGAAAACATTTTTCTGGATTTACCACTATTTTACCATCAACATTACATATAAAGATGTGAGTAGGGTCCCTGGTGGTTTTGGATAGTAAATAAAAAGTGCTGTATTTGTTTTGTAGACATTGTGACCCCTGGGGAATGTTTCACAAAACAGGATTTCTCAGTTTCATCAAATAACTTAAGCTTAAGCTTAAAATCATGCCTATCCAAAAGGAAAAAGAGCGGAGGGACAACTGGCAAACGTTCGATTTGGGCTTAAGTCAAAATCTTGCGTTTGAAATGCTTTACTCAAGTTACTCTTCATTGAAGCATTTCACATTAAGCCTCTCGGAATGACTGTTTACATACTGTTTACCACGGTTGAATTATGTGGAAATTAAAAAAATAATAAATGGGTGGAATTAATGTGTGGATTTTGTATAAGCCATTTTAAAAAAGTGAATTACGTGCATTAAAAAAAAAAAAACACTATAGGCCGCAAAACATCTGTCCTTCTGATCTGCTGTGAGTCAGTATGTAGGCTTACAGTTGTTTATTAGATCAGTGTGGGTCTAAGCAGTCTGAGAGATGCTGAGTTTTAGCTGAACTGTTGTGGTTATGAACTAGACTGTGACTTAAACCAGTGAAGTATTTGGTGGTGGTTCATCGTGTTTGCCTTGTTTTTAAATGAGTAATGCTGCATCACTGGAGCTGCAGATCATTCCCTCATGGGTCAAGACTCAAAAAATCAAAACAGTGTCCATGGACAAAACGTGTTAGTTGTGCACAGCAGAGATCTAATAGAGTTAAAATAGAGGTAGAGTCAGGTCCTGCCTTAGGGGGGAAAACAACAACAACAACAACGTTTGCCTGTTCATAGACTACATGTGACTTATTTGTATGCAATAAAAGTAATTCTTTAGTAGTGTACTTGTGTTACATCACCTTTCCTTTTACCAGCACCTGATCATTTACTATGATTATTAAGACACAAACTGTTTTAAAACAGTTTTGAAATTGTCAAAACTGAAAATTGATGAAGTAGTATGAAGTAGTATTTTGAGCTTAATAAAGCAGTATATGTTGATCCAAAATGTGTTTGGAATTCATGGCATCTTCACAGATGTGCAGGTTACCCACTAACACCTGACAGATGCTGGATTTTGAACTTTATGCTGGTAACAGTCTGTTCTTTGGTCCAGGGAACACAACGTCCATTATTTCAATGAATAATTGAAAAGGTTGACTAATCAGACCACAATACGTTTTCACTGGGCATCAGTCCATTTTAGATAAGCTAAAGCATCACATAAGTCAGCATTTCTGGTCATTGTTAATCTATGATTTCCAGTTATAACTGGGATTTGAGGATGCACTGTTTTCACTGTTTACTGACAGTGGTTTGTCAATATTCCCGAGCCTATGAGTTGATGTCCATCACAGAAACATTCTAGATTTCACGGCATTCAGTTGTTGTTTCTGTCATTGTCCTTTATGCAGAGGGAGTTCTCTGGAGTCCCTGAATCTTTTGATGATATTATGCACTGTAGAGGGTGAAGTACCTAAACTCCCTGTAATCGCTTTCTGAGGAATCTTATTTTTAAGCTGCTAGATTTTTTTACTGTTGCATTTTTGGTGAGCCTCAAACCTCAAACCTTCCTCGCTTATAAACTTCTCAGCTTTTCCCGGACACTCCTGTTATACCCAGGCATGATTGCATCACCTGTTTAAGATGTTTTTAACATTTTACAGTGTTCCTAGTCTTAAATTGGGCCTGTCTCAACTTTTTTTAGAATGTGGTTGCATTGGTTTCAGAATGAATGTATATTTACAAAAAACTGAATTTGAAAAGATTAAACCTTAAACATTTTTGTACTTTTTTGTTCAAATAAATGAATAAATGACTGCTTTCTGTTTTTATTGGATCCTTGGATCCTGGCTCTTAACTTCACTGCTACTGCTCTGCACAAAGATGTTTTTATATATATATATAATGTGTGTGTGAGTGTGTGTTGCGCTGTGCTGGTCTAAGTGGATCAGACAGCAGTGTCACTGCTGGACTGAGAATAGTGTGACCACTGATGAAGGACTAGAGGATGACCAACACAAACTGTGCAGCAACAGATGAGCTATCATCTCTGACTTTACATCTACAAGGTGGACTGACAAGGTAGGAGTGTCTAATAGAGTGGACAGTGAGTGGACACAGTGTTTAAAAAATCCAGCCGCACTGCTGTTTCTGATCCACTCGTACCAGCACAACACACACTAACACACTACCACCACGTCAGTGTTACTGCAGTGCTGAGAATGATCCACCACCCAAATAGTACCTGCTCTCTGAGGGTCCATGGGGGTCCTGACCACTAAGGACCAGGGTAAAATGGGGCTAACAAAGTATGCAGAGAAACAGATGGACTACAGTCTATAACTGTAGAATGTATGTTATATATAACGTTTGGGTGCAGAGCAGTAGCAGTGAAGTATATAAAGACAATGGTTCTATTTACATCCATGAGTTCTATAAAAAAAAGTTGGGCAGTTTGTCAAATGTTAATAAAAAAGCAGTAATTAGCAGTGTACCAGCTTTTTTGGGTTTGGGTTATTTTGATTTCATTCTCAAATGGTTCTTCAGACTGATGGAGAACATGTATATAGTTCTGGTATTTTCTTCAGTTGTTCCGATGTCAAACTACATAGAACCATTTTCAAAAACCAAACATGACACATTCTCCATCAATCTGAAGAACCATTTCATGATGCAAAGAATCATGGAAATGGTTTGAGAACTCATGGTTCTAAATAAAACCATTCCCTTTACTAAAGAACCCTTGAAGACCCGTGTTTCTGGAGGCTGTACAGCATGTCTCCCGCGGGGTATTTTTAGTATTTACAGGCTGCTGAATGAGAGAGCTCGCTGCCTGTGTTGGGTATTTCTGGTGGGACGTTTCTAGTTTAAAAACCTGACGAGCCGTGACGTCATCGCCCCTGGCGGACAGAGTTAGGGAGAAACTCTTGAGGACGGGCTTTTCTCCTCGGACAGGAGGCTCGATTTAAATAAACAAGTATAAACTACATGAGTAGATATTAATCACATTAACTCGGATGGAACAGGCGGGAGCGCAGCTTGTACTTCCAGCTTCTGATGGGAATTAAAACAGGCAGATCGTTTCTTTTTCCTTTTTGGTGAATGGACACCCCGCGCGTGCGACCATACATATACACTCCTCAGATCCGGCGTGGTACGCACGCGCGCGCGCGCAGGTGGCACCAGCCCTTTGGAAGGAGTTGTTGTTGTTTTGGTTTGTTGATTAGGCCAGCCTGGGAAGCCCCGTTCCGCGCGCACAGCGTTCCGTTGCGCGCGCCTCCATAAACGCGGCCACGAGAGGAATAACCGACGTTCCACCGTGCACGCGCTTCTCCGTCTCCATTGCGCAGGATTCTCTCTCTCGTTCTGAAGGGTTACTCGGGCTCTCGCGGCTCCATGGACGAGCCCGACATCGACGTGGTGGGCCTGGCCGCGCGCGACGGCGACGAGCAGCATCAAGCGGCTGCGGCGGCGCCCGCGAGGAGCTCCAGGAGCGCGCGGAGCTCTCGAGAGGAGGACGACGACGATGATGAGAGCGGCGACGGCGGCGGGGAGCGCGCGACCCGATGCGGCGGCGGCGCGTCCCCGGCGAAGCCCCCGTACTCGTACATCGCGCTGATCACCATGGCCATCCTGCAGAGCCCCGAGAAGCGGCTCACGCTCAGCGAGATCTGCGCCTTCATCAGCCGCCGCTTCGCCTACTACCGCGAGAAGTTCCCCGCGTGGCAGAACTCCATCCGCCACAACCTGTCGCTCAACGACTGCTTCGTCAAGATGCCGCGCGAGCCTGGAAACCCCGGCAAGGGCAGCTACTGGACCCTGGACCCGCAGTCCTCGGACATGTTCGAGCAGGGCAGCTTCCTGCGGCGCCGCAAGCGCTTCAAGCGGCAGCAGCACCACCAGCAGCGCCTCGCGCCGCTCCAACTCAGCGCGCTCCCGCGGCTACAGCCCGTCAGCCTGTGGCCTGCGCTCTCCACGCTGCTCGCGCGGACTCCCGGCGCGGGGACCAAAGGCCTTCTTCATCCTCTGAATCCTCCTCCTCCTCCTGCTCCTCCGGTTCCTCCGCTCGGTTTGGCCTCTCCGCTGCACTGCGCCTCCTTCATCCCTCCTCTTCCTCCCAGCTTTTACTCCCTGCAGCACGAGTACAGCAAACTGCGCGCGCTGCACTGCTCCGCTCTGGCTACTCTGTAAACAGCTGAGTAAAACTGTCAAAGAGAGTCATTTAGGAAACAGCCATCAACTCTAATAGATGAGATTAACAGCACAAAGTGGTGAAAACTGTTAGGAAAGTTAAAAAGAACTGAAAAATAGAAAAGACAGATTTAACCCTGATACAGTTTTGTTTTCGTGTTTTCTTAAATATTTAAAACGTATTTTAAACATAACTGTGGAAACAAAAACAACAAACAACCAACTTAAAGCATTTAACAGCAAACGCAGATGATTTTTTTCTAAACAGCACTAGTTAATCTAAGTCGACCAAAGTAATTTAAAATGTTTTTATTTGTTTTTTTTTTATTCACACATTAATAATAAACGTTTTTTTAATAATGATTATTCCAACATTTAAAAAACTAAAAAAAGATGAAATTAGACATTTTCCTGATAAAATTTTAGCTGTTGAAAAATTCAAAGTCACATTTATTCAGTTTAAATTGTCTTCATGTGCAATAAAATTGATCAATGTCTTTAAGTTTTAAAAATGGACATTGGATAGTAGACAGCCTGGTTTGTCACTCCTCAGATTAACACAATTACATTATTTCTTAGGATCAATTCTGAATAATCAAAATAAATGGGTTTCCAGTTGAAACTACATTAGCACCATTTCAGGTTTTTCAGTCAAGGGCTATACTGTCGCCTGCACAAGCTTCTTCAAGCTTCACTCCTGGTCAAATGCTATGCTTTGGTGATTTTCTGAGTGAAATAAATGAACACATCCTCTACAGAGAACTCAAATATGGCACATTTCTGCACAATTTTCTGTTTATTTGCTGGTAAAAATTAAAATGTTCAGTGTGCCATAACTTTTGCACAGGCCACATTTTATCACATTGTTCAATTCAGTACATAAACTATATTCATGCATTGAAATGTGCAGAAGTGTGTTCTCTGTAGAGGTTCACTTATTTACACTAAGAATATCAACACAAACATTTCATTTGACGAACTTAATGAAATATGCAAACTCTGAAATATGAATCGTCTTTATCTGCCACTATCAAATCTACAAGTTTACAGATCTTAACAGACGGAAACATTAAACTGATACAGACGGAGCAGAAATGGACACAGTGGCCTAAATGCATTGAAGCAGCATTGGCAGTTCGAGTGGTTGAGAAAGGAACCATTCTTATTTGTCAGCACTAAATGTTTATATTATATATGAGCATCGGAACTGTTTTTCTGAAGGGAGAAAGAAACAAGAAGCAAATCTATATTTTTATATTAACACAGTCTATAAATCATTAGACTGATGATTGGCTTTTCATTGAAGGAAAACATTATTGCCTGCATTTTCTCTGAGGATCTCCTGCTGTTGGATTACTCTGAAAGTGCCTTTTGGTAAACATTACACTAAACCTGCCTACAGTTAAACTGAGGAATATAAAACTGGACATATGTGTAATATGAATGTGCTTTATATTATTTTCCACCACTGAAGTCATGCTGGCGTCTTCATATCTGTGAGTCTCTGAGTAAAACTCAAGTAGTAGGACTGGCTTCAAAAGCATTTCAGAAGCTATTGCCTTTATTAGTTTAAGTCTCTTTACATAATTGAGGTTAAATGACTGTGTTAAGAACAGGGGTGGAAAATGCTGGCAACTCATTACAAATCTCAAAGACCAGGAGATTTTTCTCTCCCCACTCAGTCGAGTTCACGTGAATTTGAATTTATTTTTATCCAACCAAATTCATATCGGTGTAAAATAAAACTGCATACAACTGCTTTATCTCAGCAAACGTTTTAACCAAAAAGGGCTCTTTATAGAACTAAAAAAGGGTTCTGTGACATGTAACAGATTCTTTTAAAGAACCATAAGAAGGTATACAACTGTATACAACAGGTTTTCCATCATAGAAAAGAAGCAGTTTTTCCAATTTCTGCATTTTATAATTTATGCATGCAGATGGTTCATTTTCTATGTAGAGCGATTGCCTTTACTAAAGAACCTTTTCTTAAGGGTTTATAGTGGTGCACACGACCAAGCAAATACATACTTTTAATTAATTAGTTGAATTTACTTTTTACTTTTATATGCATCGTGTGCAAAAGTTTTGGCACCCCAGTCACTTGACATGTTTTGTTGTTTTTTCTGAGTGGAAATAAGTTAACACATCCTCCACACACACACACACACACACACACACGCACACACACACACACACACACACGCACACACACACACACACATGCACACACACACACACACACACAATTACTGTTATTTGCTGAACTTAACATATTAAAACAAAACATGAAATGTAGCCTTGTGCAAAGTTATGGCATATTTTATATTATGTGGGCTTTTATATGTTAAATTCAAATTGTGCACTAACAATTGCAGCCAAACACAATGTTTAATTTGTAGAGGATGTGATAACTTAATTTCATTTAAAATTCACAAGACATGTCATTCAAACCTTTGAAAAAAAAAAAACATACAACTGTAAGTTTATATAGTGTACGAAAGTATAGGTTTGGCTTCATGCTTTCACTTTAAATTAAACTTCAGGATGTTCTTTTTTCCACCCCTCATCAATTAGAAATGCTGTATGTGTTTAAATTCCTGTTATTTATTACTGTAAGTTGTACATTCATGGCCAAAACAGCAGTCAATCCAATTCTTTGCCTTTTTTTTCATGATTTTCTTGGGTTTCAGGAGAAGTACAGGGATTAGATGGTGGGAAATTGGGGCTCTTGGGTTCGAAGTGTCTGTATGGCAGAGAAACGCAGCGATGTAAAGGGGGTTTACGGTTGTACAGTGTTATTTAAGTCGTTTTAATTGGTTTTCACAGTGTATGTGTTCAGTGCTGTATTAGTTTGGCCTGTGTTCTTTGCAGAAATGACCAAATCTCAATTTGCTTTATTCATTTTTGTGCTTGATTCTCACAAACAAACTCATTTGCATGTATGCAGGGATGTATTCATATAAACAGTAAACTTTCTCACTTTTTCTCTTTTTGACAAGACTCTGTGCGGATGCATCTCTGAAACCACTGAAATGAGGGAGCTAAACTGGACCTGTTTGCCTTTTTTTTTTCTTTTTTAAGCATTTTCTATCCTGCGAGTGGCAGGAATTCACAGCCAAAGATGTGTGTGTTCCCTCACACGCTTGTACTGGTCTGAATGAGGAACACATGCACACACTGCACAAACAGCCCAGACTCTTATCAGACACATATGAGCCCTTAAGCACAATGACATTGAATCTAATGTATGTATATGATTGTAATGCAGCTTTTGCTGTGGTTCTGTGCTGCCCTTTATTATGGCTGACAGTTCCCTAATGCCACACAGCCAAACGCTGCTTCAAATACGCTGAGGCCGGAGCCTACAGCGAATTGCAGAAGAGGACAATCCCTGCATTGGTTTGGTCATTTGGCCTGTGTTTGGATTACGGAGCACTGTGTGTTTTTGTATCTGTGGAAGAGGCCGGATATATCTCCAGATGAATAATGTTTTGGAGGACTTTTTTTTTCATTTCTCTTGTGAAAATAAACGGCTCACTGAGGTGCTTGGCCCCCGCACTCGTTTCTGAATGGCAATCCTAAACCTCAGCTCACTCATTCTCTCGGGACTGATGTACCAGTTGTGTTGCTAAGCACTAATTCTAGCTGGTTTTTGTTTAAAAGTAAATCATATGCAGTATATCATCACTGTTGTAACAAAACCACATCTTCAGCATGGTAACTTTATATTAGAAGGACGAAATGTTCTGGTAACGTAATGAGACCTTATTCTTACTCATTTTGGAGCATTTCTATCAGTGGAGAGTTCATACAATGTAAAGATCAGCTAGTTTCCAAATAGTGTAATAACATTAACCCCTTTATTGCACAATGTTGCCTCAGGGCAACAAACTCATTTTCCATAACTTTACAATAACATTAAACATATTTAAAGACAATGAACCAGTTTAACAATAAAAGGGAAGAGTTTAAGTAAGTCAATAAAATCAAGTACTTGGTCATACTGTCTCTAATTGGGCACCATTAAACCTCTTTTTTAACATTCAGTATAATTTTTTTTTTGTTATGAGAATTTGCAGAGTGATGTGTGTTGCCTAGAAGCAACAGTGTGTGACAGAGGAATGGATTTAGCCAGTCACAAGCCAGGTCTCAACACTTCAGGGAACACGGCTCTGTATCATTTCTTCTCATTGTCGCACAATGTTGCCTCAAGGCAACAAACTCCAATAGGACCCCTGCCTACATTATTTTTTTAGAATGTTTTTATATTTACTAATCAAGTCCATTTTATGCAAGAAAAGTGAATTGAATATTTTTTTTTTAAATTGCTCTTATAATACGTGCAGCAGAGGGTTCATTATGAAAACAAAGATTTTGATATGAGAACAACACGTTCACAAGTGCCAAAACTTGTACACTCACACAGTTTGTTACATTTGCTATTATAGCGTATTGCAAACACTGCAAATCTAGCTAGCCAGCTTCCTCTAGAGATCTATTCTGCAGGGATAATTTTCCACACCTCCACAGTTCAGTCTTGGTTTTCCATTTTCTTCTTCTTATGATCCAAGTAATCAAACACATTCAGTGATGTTGAGGTCTGGACTCTGGGGTGGTCAGTCCATTGTTCAGCTTCTTCATTTGATGTGTCTGTCTTTTTCTCAGTGAGGCCTTCTTGGCAGCTACACATCCTTTCAGACCCACAGCACTGAATTGTCTTCTCACATGCATCCTGGTCAACTGATGTGTTTTGTTGATTTTCAGTGAGTGTGTTGATTTGAATGTGTTTTGTTGAAAATAAGTGAACACATCCTCTACTGAGAACACACTCTTGCACAGCTTAGTGCACAATGACTGTTGAATTGCTGAATTTATCATATTGGGGGAAAATGTGAACAAATGTGGCCTGTGCAAAAGTTATGGCATATTATATATTTTAGGTTTTATTTTTTCCCAGTATGTTACCCCCTTAAAATCCCAGGCTCATTACGTTCTAA